CCTTGCAAGCTGCATGGGTTACCATGCTCTGCGGTGCGCTACAATGCAGGTGGTTAGGGTGCCATCTAAAATGAATGGCAACCAGGGGTGGAGTGAAAACTCATGGGGCCCCCAGGCAATAGGGGATCATGGGGCCCTTGAGTCCTTGCCCACACTCAAAGCACACCCAAAAAAGCTTATAGAAGGTACCAGGGCATTTCATGGGGCCCCCTACTGACCTTGGGCCCTCGGTTACTGCCCGAGTGCCCGAATGGTCAGTCCGCCCCTGATGGCAACACAATATTATTACTACACATTGCGACAATGCACACGTTACTGCAATGCAGAAGTACAAGTGATGCCTAGAAGGTGCTGCTTTGTCATCTCAGAACATTGAGAGGTATGGTCGGCAGTTCCCTGGAGCACAGATGCTAGGAGGATACCATGGCAGTGACCCAGTGGCTATATTACCTCAATGATGTCACAAGCATCCCTGTTCCTATGTGTACCCTGGCTGTAGTCGATTGGGCGGCAGTGACAGCTTATTTCAAGGTTCAATCTGAAGCCTAGTTTGGACCGAACCTAAGCTCATCCCTAGTAGCTAAGGAGAGGTGAAGGAACATTTACTGGGTTTTTGGTATAAGGCAGGCATGTCCAAAGTCCGGCCCGTGGGCCAATTGTGGCCTGTGCTCTGGTTCAATACGGCCCCACAGGTAATTTGGCAATATCTAAAAAGGAGAAAAGCGTCTCTAAGTGCAATATGTTTATTTTTTGAGGAACATAATGAGAAACACATGATGAAAGAAAACGAAAGGCTTAGGCATATGTGGTGAAAACAAAGGACATGGCAGAGTCCTCGATGTATACACCGTAGTAAGCACTGGAGGAGACTCGGGGATGTTCACAGGGAGCCGGCCGGCATGTGTGAGATCCAAAGATGGCGTCCGGAGTCCACCCTGGAGCGCAACGACAGCGTGATGACGTAGGGATGTCCGGCATGCAATGCAACGCGTTTCGGAGCATACACGAGGTCGATGAAAGGCAAAGGTGCGCTAATTTTGCTTTTTTTTTTTTTTTTTTTTTTTTTTTAGGGGCAGAAACAAGTACAGATTTCAAATATATCATGACCAGTATCTTTCGCTCTTTTATCCATTAATTTTTTTTTGGTGCAAAATGGTTGGCCCTCACACATGTTCACTTCATCAAATCTGGCCCTCTTTGAAAAAAGTTTGGACACCCCTGGTATAAGGGGTTCATTTACACCAGATGCACTGGGGTGCATTTGTGAGCGCATTCTCAATGCGTGGCAACCAAAAAATAATGGTTCCCTATGAAGGCAGTTCACACCAGCGTGATCAGTAGTGTTGCATTTGCCCAGTGCAGTCCAAACAAAGTATGGTCAGTTAGGTGTGCAGTATATTTAATAAGAAATAAAAAGAAAAAAACAGGATGCTGTGCCTTTAAGAACGTGCTGTTCCGTGGTCACATGACCGGCGGTGCTCCTGAGCTGACCTTTCATTGTACATAAAGTGAACTTGATCCGCAGCACCTGTGTGATTGCCATCAGCTGATCCGCATCACAGGTGTCGGGCCCCGGGCTGCCAGCATCTCCCCGTCGTCTACTCCCACCGTCGGTGACCTTGGATGGGGTCCAGGGTGGGACTGATCCAGCCAGAAACCTGTTCCTCCAGAACTGCTGCCGTCAGATAATGAGAAAAGAAAAAAGCTCAGCAAATCACAGAAATAAAAAAACACAGCGTTTTATGGACGCAGAGCGTATCAAGGGTCACATGATGATGTGAAAGCCAGACGCGTTCCAATTCCAGAATTATTTTATAGAGGAGATCTGTACCAAAAAAAAAAAAAAATGCATCGGCTGCTGTTGCTGATCAGTCCTTTTGAAAATGCTGGTTGCCTGGCTTTTATACTGATCCTGTAAATTTAATAGCTGGGTTGCTTGACCCGGAACCAGAATGCATGTAAGGATCCCACATGGAAGAAAAATATATTTGAAATATATTTTAAAAATATTTTTACCAAATACATTGACATCTATTTGAAATACTGCAATTTTGGCCATATTCAATATATTTCAAAACTATATTTCTATGTATATATATATATATATATATATATATTATTTTTTATTTTATTTTTTTTGAAAATGTATTTTTAAAACTATTTTTCATATATTTTGTAATAAAAATACATTTCAACATACAGTGTGTGTGTGTGTGTATATGTATATATATATGTGTGTGTATATATATATATATATATATATATATATACTGTATGTTGAAACGCATTTTTATTACAAAATATATGAAAAATATTTTAAATAAAAACATTCTCAAACATACTGTATGTCTTTAAAAAATACATATTATCTACATTTTTGGAATGCATTTAGAAATATATGTAAAAATATATGTTAAAATTACTTTTCTATGTGTTAGAAAAAAGTCTGAAGAATATATTTAAAAAATATATATTTTTAAAGATATTTTTACTCCAAAGACATGCTGGTAGGTAAACTACTGGCTCCTGCCTAAATTGGCCCTAGTATGTGTATACATGAATGTGAGTTAGGGACCGTAGACTGTACACCCCTTGAGGGTTAGGGACTGATGTGAATGTACAATATATATGTAAAGCGCTGCGTAAACTGACAGCGCTATATAAGTGCCTGAAATAAATAAATATATGTTGTAATATATATATATATATATATATATATATATATATATATATATATATACAGTCAGGTCCATAAATATTGGGACATCGACACAATTCTAACATTTTTGGCTCTATACACTACCACAATGGATTTGAAATGAAACGAACAAGATGTGCTATAACTGCAGACTGTCAGCTTTAATTTGAGGGTATTTACATCCAAATCAGGTGAACGGTGTAGGAATTACAACAGTTTGCATATGTGCCTCCCACTTGTTAAGGGACCAAAAGTAATGGGACAGAATAATAATCATAAATCAAACTTTCACTTTTTAATACTTGGTTGCAAATCCTTTGCAGTCAATCACAGCCTGAAGTGTGGAACGCATAGACATCACCAGACGCTGGGTTTCATCCCTGCGGATGCTCTGCCAGGCCTCTACTGCAACTGTCTTCAGTTCCTGCTTGTTCTTGGGGCATTTTCCCTTCAGTTTTGTCTTCAGCAAGTGAAATGCATGCTCAATCGGATTCCGGTCAGGTGATTGACTTGGCCATTGCATAACATTCCACTTCTTTCCCTTAAAAAACTCTTTGGTTGCTTTTGCATTCTGCTTTGGGTCATTGTCCATCTGCACTGTGAAGCGGCGTCCAATGAGTTGTGAAGCATTTGGCTGAATATGAGCAGATAATATTCCCGAAACACTTCAGAATTCATCCGGCTGCTTTTGTCAGCAGTCACATCATCAATAAATACAAGAGAACCAATTCCATTGGCAGCCATACATGCCCACGCCATGACACTACCACCACCATGCTTCACTGATGAGGTGGTATGCTTAGGATCATGAGCAGTTCCTTTCCTTCTCCATACTCTTCTCTTCCCATCACTCTGGTACAAGTTGATCTTGGTCTCATCTGTCCATAGGATGTTGTTCCAGAACTGTGAAGGCTTTTTTAGATGTCGTTTGGCAAACTGTAATCTGGCCTTCCTGTTTTTGAGGCTCACCAATGGTTTACATCTTGTGGTGAACCCTCTGTATTCACTCTGGTGAAGTCTTCTCTTGATTGTTGACTTTGACACACATACACCTACCTCCTGGAGAGTGTTCTTGATCTGGCCAACTGCTGTGAAGGGTGTTTTCTTCACCAGGGAAAGAATTCTTTGGTCATCCACCACAGTTGTTTTCCGTGGTCTTCCGGGTCTTTTCGTGTTGCTGAGCTCACCGGTGCGTTCCTTCTTTTTAAGAATGTTCCAAACAGTTGTTTTGGCCACGCCTAATGTTTTTGCTATCTCTCTGATGGGTTTGTTTAGTTTTTTCAGCCTAATGATGGCTTGCTTCACTGATAGTGACAGCTCTTTGGATCTCACCTTGAGAGTTGACAGCAACAGATTCCAAATGCAAATAGCACACTTGAAATGAACTCTGGACCTTTTATCTGCTCATTGTAATTGGGATAATGAGGGAATAACACACACCTGGCCATGGAACAGCTGAGAAGCCAATTGTCCCATTACTTTTGGTCCCTTAACAAGTGGGAGGCACATATGCAAACTGTTGTAATTCCTACACCCGTTCACCCGATTTGGCTGTAAATACCCTCAAATTAAAGCTGATAGTCTGCAGTTAAAGCACATCTTGTTTGTTTCATTTCAAATCCATTGTGGTGGTGTATAGAGCCAAAAATGTTAGAATTGTGTCAATGTCCCAATATTTATGGACCTGACTATATATATATATATATATATATATATATATATATATATATATATACACACACACACTGCATATTGAAATGCGTTTTTTTTATATATTACAACATGTATGAAGAATATTTTTTAAAATTTTCTTTAAATGTAGATTTTCTTTAACACACAAAAAAGTAATTTTAACATATATTTTTACATATATGCGTAAATGCATTCCAAAAATGTAGATTAAATGTATTTTTAACCACCTCCCGCCCGCCATATAGTGCAATGACGGGCGCAAGGTGGTTCTCTCGTTCTGATAGGACGTCATATGACGTCCTGCCATTCTCACCGCGCAGGCGTAGCTCAGGGAGCGTGCAGCGAGGCGATCGGCGGTGCTCTGTGTCCCTCGGACACAGCGGATCACAGAAAGAGCTGAAGATGTCGACTCGGTCATGTGATCAGCTGTGTCCAATCACAGCTGATCACATGTAAACACGGAAATGCCGGTTATCGGCATTTCTCTCCTCTTGAGCTGTCACGCTGACAGAGGAGAGCTGGTAATCAGCTTTCTGCGGAGGGGACATCTACACTGATCATCAGGGCACTGATGATCAGTGTGCCCTAATGATCAGTGGGGCCCCAGAAGTGCCACCTGTCAGAGTCCACCAGTGCCAGCTGAACAGTGCCATGTGCCAGTGCCCATCAGTGCCACAATGCCACATATCAGTGCACATCAATGCCACAAATCCGTGCCCATCTGAGCTGCCCTTCAGTGTCACCCATCAGTGCCAGTCAGTGCCACCTATCAATGCCAATCAGTGCCACCTATCAGTGCTGCCAATCAGTGCCAGTCAGTGCCACTTATCAGTGCCAGTCAGTGCCGCCTATCAGTGCGCATCAGTGCCTCCTGTCAGTGCCATATATCAGTGCTCTATATCATTGCTGCCTTTCAGTGCCTATCAGTGATTCCTGTCAATGCCCATCAGTGCCACCTACCAGTGCCTCCTCAACAGTGCCCATCAGTGCCACCTATCAGTGTCCATCAGTGCAGCCTATAAGTGCCCATCACTGCAGCCTCATTAGCGTACATCAGTGAAGGAGAAAAATCACTTATTTACAAAAATTTTTTATAACAAAAACTAAGAAAAAACTTCAGTGGTTTTTAATTTGTTTAAGAAAAAATAAAAAACCCAGAGGTGATTAAATACCACCAAAATAAAGCTCTATCTGTCACAAAAAATTATAAAAATTTCATATGGGTACAGTGTTGCATGACCACGCAATTGTCATTCAAAGTGCGACAGCGCTGAGAGCTGGAAATTGGCCTGGGCAGGAAGGGGGTATAAGTGCCCTGTAGGCGAGGGGTTAAAGTCATACACAGTAGTATATTTGAAAATGAATTTTTAAAAATATTTTTCATATATAGTTTGTAATAAAAACGCATTTCAACATACAGTGTATATATATTACATAAATTTCATTTGGGTTCAGCGTTGCATGACCGCGCAATTGTCAGTTAAAGTAGCGCAGCGGCGTAACGCAAAAAATGGCCTGGTCAGGAAGAGGGGTAAATCCTCTGGAGGGCAAGTGGTTAAAGCCTGCCCTTTTGCTGCTGCATGTATGTGTTATAAGGGTGGGAAGTGATTACGGGCTCATTGACATCTATGTGTTGCAGGAATGCACAGCAACACATGTTGTTCATTTTACATGGCACCCCCACACGCCAAGCGTACACACATGTAAATCGTGTTTCGCAGTACATTGCATTACAATTTTTGTGTCATGTCCGATTGTTTGGGATATTTTCACTGCACGTAATGCAACACACATCAATGCAGCACAAACATGTAAATGGGTGAGAGCATGCTATGTCACGTGTTAACATGTGCAGTATTAAGGCAGTCCAGGGGCGGACTGACTAACTCATGGGGCCCCTGGGCAATAGGAGATCCCCTGTGTCCTCGCCAGGGGCGGACTGACCATTTAGAAACTCGGGCACTGCCTGAGGGCCCGGGGTCAGTAGGGGGCTCCATGAGATGCCCATGGTACCTTTTTCATAGGCTTTTTTGAGTTTGGGCAAGGACACAGGGACCCCATGATCCCCTATTGCCTGGGGGCCCCACGAGCTGTTAGTCCGCCCGAGGACTCCTCGCCCACACCCAAAAAAGTCTATGAAAAAGCCAATGAAAGGTACCAGGGGCATCTCATAGGGCCCCCTACTGACCCTGGGCCCTTCGGCAGTGCCTGAGTGCTCAAATAATTAGTCCGTCCCTGAGGCAGTCCATTGAAAATCATGAGCTGTCAACGCACCCAAAGATCTCGAAAATCAGATGTGTCACCAAAATTTCCAATGGTGTGTTGCCACCAGGGGCGGACTGACCATTTGGAAACTAAGGCACTGCCCGAGGGCCTGGGGTCAGTAGGGAGCCCCATGAGATGCCTCTGGTACCTTTTTCATAAGCTTTTTTGAGTTTTGGCAAGGACACAGGGGCCCCATGATTCTCTATTGCCCGGGGGCCCCATGAATTGTCAGTCCACCCCTGGTTGCCACATGCGTGTTGGAGGGCCATTCCAAATGAATGACAACCCAACACAACGGGCAGAGGGAATGCATTTGTTCATGCATGCATTACCGCAATGCAAAGATGTGAATGGGCCCCAAGAGATGATTCAGGCTGGAACGTTCAGAAATATAACGGATGCCTGTAAACGGATGGGACTGTGCAGAGCGTGTTGTGATCGCGGCCCTCGTCCTCTCTGGCTTCCTGCGCTCAGTCGGACACCAGTGATCTACCATTCTGTGCGGCTCTTCGTCAGCACTTAGCTTGATTGGGTACAGTGTGATACAAATCATTGTGATTAGAAAACCAGCAGCCGCTCCAGCCTGGCTCTTTATGTCCTCGGCGCGCTGTGTTTATCTTTCATCAACTTCCGTGCCAGGGGGGCGCAGAGATATTAAATCCACTCAGCAAATTGCAGATGGAGAGTGAATTAAACAGGGCGGAGGTGTCTCTGGGGAAGTGCATTTTCTGCGCTGCTTTTATCTCGGCTAGGACAGGATCAGGATTCTTCTCGCTGCGTGGCCAATGGGGACCCAATCGGTTCCTGGAGGAGGATGATGAGAAATTGTAGCCACAGCCGGGTTTACGCTGTCTTTAGCCGAGACATGACTGCGTGATGTTAATAGTCTTCATCATATAGTAGATGTAACCCCAATAACTAAAATCTAATATATCAAACACAAGAAGAGGGCTTTAGTTATAGGATGGAGTTATTATTATTATTATGACAGGTATTTATATGCTGCCGACAATTTACAGTACACAGCGTTTTCCATATTGTATATTCACATCAGTCCCTGTCCTTGAGGAGCTTATAATCTACATCAGTTCCCACCTTTGAGGAGCTTGCAATCTACATTAGTGTCTGCCCTTGAGAAGCTTATAATGTACATCAGTCCTGGCCCTTGAGGAGCTTATAATGTACATCAGTCCTGGCCCTTGAGGAACTTATAATGTACATCAGTCCTGGCCCTTGAGGAGCTTATAATGTACATCAGTCCTGGCCCTTGAGGAGTTTACAATCTACATCAGTCCATACCCTTGAGGAGCTTAAAATCTACTTCAGTCCCCCTGCCCAAGGACCTTTACAATCTACGTCAGTCCCTGCCCTTGAGGAGTTTACAATCTACATCAGTCCTTACCCTTGAGGAGCTTACAATCTAAATCAGTACCCACCCTTGAGGATCTTACAATCTACATCAGTCCCTGCCCTTCAGGAGCTTATAATCTACATCAGTTCCCACCCTTGAGGAGCTTACAATCTTCATCAGTGTCCTCCCTTGAGAAACTTATAATCTACATCAGTCCTGGTCCTTGAGGAGTTTACAATCTACACCAGTCCTGGCCCTTGAAGAGCTTACAATCTACATCAGTCTTGGCCCTTGAGGAGCTTACAATCTACATCAGTCCTTACTCTTGAGGAGCTTCTAATCTTCATGAGTCCTTACCCTTGAGGTGATTACAATCTACATGAGTCCTTACCCTTGAGGAGCTTTCAATTTAAATCAGTTCCCACCCTTGGGGAGCTTACCATCTTCATCAGTGTCCTCCCTTGAGAAGCTTACAATCTACATCAGTCCCCCACCCAAGGACCTTACAATCTACACCAGTCCGCGTCCTTGAGGAGCTTACAATCTACAGCATTCCTTACCCTTGAGGAGCTTACAATCTACATCAGTCCCCGCCCTTGAGCAGCTTACCATCTCACATGCATACATACACCTACTGGGGCCAATTTAGGCTAGGTTCACACCAAACATCTTGTGCACATGTGTTTTTGCACTTTTTTTGTTGCATGTTTTTCCTGCTACATGCATAGGGGTTTCCATTAATTTCAATATGCTGCTGTATGCACAACAAACATGCCGCAGAAGCTTCTGTACCTTTTTGGGCATTGAGCTTCTCACATTGTTTAACCTCATGTTTTGATGCATTTGTTGCTCGTTTTAGGTATTAGTGGGAGGAATAGTACCCCATCTTTGGTATTAATGGGAGGAATAGTGCCCCATCATTGGTATTAGTGGGAGGAATAGTGTCCCATCATTGGTATCAGTGGGAGGAATAGTGCCCCATCATTGGTATTAGTGGGAGGAATAGTGCCCCATCATTGGTGTCAGTGGGAGGAATAGTGCCCCATCATTGGTATTAGTGGGAGGAATAGTGCCCCATCATTGGTATTAGTGGGAGGAATAGTGCCCATCATTGGTATCAGTGGGTGGAATAGTGCCCCATAATTGATATTAGGGGTGGGAATAGTGCCCCATCATTGGTATCAGTGGGTGGAATAGTGCCCCATCATTGGTATCAGTGGGTGGAATAGTGCCCCATCATTGGTATCAGTAGGAGGAATAGTGCCCCATCATTGGCATCAGTGGGAGGAATGGTGCCCCATTATTAGTATTAATGGGAGGAATAGTGCCCCATCATTGGTTTTAGCAGAAGGAATAGTTCCCAATCATTTATATCAGTGGGATGAATAGTGTCCTATCATTGGTGTCAGTTAAATGAATAATGCCCCATCATTGGTGTCACTGAGCGGAATAGTGCCCCAAGGGCTGGATAAAAGCTAGTATAGGGCCACGTTTTGGAGACCACTGGCACATATAGTATTTTACCACATCCTAAGCCTATAGACCCATTCAAAGTGAATGGCCTGCCTTAAAGCAACATGCATCAATGAACCGAAAAGGAAGATAGCAAATGCACAGGTGTCAATCAGGCCCTAAAATGACAGCTGTGACTCTGATGAGAGAAACAACAATATTAAAAATTAAAGGAGAGCCGGTGTCTGTCTGTTATTTTTCTTTGCATTGTTGTTGACTTTTTTTAAAAAAAAAATGACAGGTGCACTTTGCTGATGCTGAGCACCAGACTCTAGATGTGCGGCTTCTTATGTCATCTGTTGCTGTTTCTGGTATTATCGAACATTCTGCAGACTCGGCCTCCACCTGCTATCACTGAGAACACGCTGGCGCACATACACAACATTCCTTCTCACTGACCTCACGAGATTCCTCCATGCGACTCTCCAGTCTCTCCTGATATCATTATAAGGAGGCTGTAAAGCGGCAGTTTTATATGTGTGTCGATGGCTCGTCTGACTGGGAGAACATTTACGGGCCTCGGAGTAGCTGTTAGATATCTATTGATCACTTTTATAATGAGCCATTAGTGGAGTATGAATCTGTCAGTTGAAGGTGAACGGAAGGTCTGCCTAGCTTCCCGTTATCCCTTCTCTATCAATGCCGCAAGGTTTCGGGTCCTTCTCAATTGTCAGCTCTCCGGCACAATCGCTTCATTTTCTGCTGGTGTTACGCCAAGTCCACCTAGATTCCACCTAAAGTCCACCTAGATTCCACCTAAAGTCCACCTAGATTCCACCTAAAGTCCACCTAATTCCACCTAAAGTCCACCTAGATTCCACCTAAAGT